GTGATTAGGGGGGAACAAGTCAGGGTTCAGGGGAGGGTGAAAGAGGGGGGTTCTAAGTTGTATGGAGGAGTTCAGATAGATGGAAACTGAGAAGTTTCTGGTCTGGGGGACAGGTCAGGTTTGAGAGAGAGAGAGATGGGGTGGTTAGAAGGACAGATTGATCTAAGGGGGACAGATAAAGATGTGGGGATGGGTCAGGGGTCAAAAGAGGACAGACAGGTCAGGGTTCAGAGTTTTGGGGGGTGCATGTCCCACGCAGATCATGGTTCGAGGTAAATTGGGGGAGGGGGTCAAGGTGTAGAAATGTGGGGGGCAGCCTCCAGACACGTTGGGTACAGACACAGGAGTGGTACCCACTCAAAGAGAGCCTTTACTGCCAACAGTCCGGTGCTGATGAAATATTATCTATTACCCTTGCCATTAACCCCTCAAGCGCCATACAGCCACTTAACGCCCGTGAGAGCGCTGAGAAATTCACAGGAAGGCACACGCGCCAGGATTGCGCCCACACAGCAGCGTGCCTCCTCCATGCACTCAACACCAGGACCCCGTGGTTGCCCCTGTACGCCTGCAATACTGACATCTTGTGTCCAGCTTTCAGTGGGCCTGAAACCCGGACACAATATTCCAAACACGGACTGTCTGGGTGAATTCTTGACAGGTGGCAACACCAAAGCACAACATATTTATTCCCCCTATTGCCATAGCTGCCATTCTTTAAATTTAGGCAATCCACTTATAAAAAGAAAAGTCAGATAGGCCTAAAGTTAGAAGCAGCAGCTCTGTATGCAGAGATAGTAGAGAGAGAGAGCAGGTTCTGCAGGACAAATTGGTGGTCGGGCTGCACCACCTAGAGGCAGGGCACATCTGCCTTTTCTGTCAGAGTGGCCACATCACGTGCAGGAGATGGTGAAGTGGCTGAAAAAGCTTTTCTTTTCTTTCTCCTCCCAGATGCAGAGCAGCCAGTTATCTGCAAGTGCTATTAATGCACCTCTTACTCCTCCGCCCCCTCCTCTCCTAATCCCACCATAGCCCCGCAAACTGGCTATGAGAACACAGCGGAATCACACAATCACTAAGTTGCAGCAGGAGGATGATCATGAGGATTGAGGACTATAGAGGGAGAGGAAGGTCCAGCCACACAGCAGTCAGGGGATATCAGGCAGGCATCAGCAAGAAGCAGTGATGTTCCAGCAGCGTGAGCTTACCGTGAAGTGGGCTTCAGCAATGAGGGGGTGGATAATGTGGTGGCCATGGGTGCCACAAATTGGAATTGAGGAAAGTTCTGAGGGAGAGGCAGAACAGAAGCGAGGGAGGATTTCTTCATTGTCAGGTACAGCTTGCAGAGGACTGGAGAGAATAGCCACCCCAATCAGTCTGGTGGCACTTCCCCATAGGTACAAGCCACTGCTACCCCCAGGGCCAGAACAGAGAGCTCTGAAATGTGAGCCTTTTTTAATGGAGCTGGTGCCAACAGCACCGTTATGGTTTGCAGCCTCTGCCTGCAGCGTATTAACCTTGCTAAATGTACCAGCCATTTGTGTACCACATGCACGAGGATGACTCTGCACCACAGAGCTTGGTAGGAGCAACACCTCAGTAAGAAAAGTCAGCAAAAGGCCCGCACTACTCCTTCTTTTTGATAACTTTCTGCATCCCACCCAGCAAAACTATTTTCATAGGAACTGGGGTGCAGAAAAATGCTAGCAGGTGCTCTGGACGGATGAGTCAAAAATTTTAATATTTGGCTGTAGCAGGAGGCAGTTTGTTTGCTGAAGGGCTGGAGAGCAGTACAGTAATGAGTGTCTGCAGGCAACAGTGAAGCATGGTGGAGGTTCCTAGCAAGCTGGGGCTGCAGATACTTATCCATCATGCCATACCATCAGGGAGGTGTGTGATTGACCACAAATTTATTCTGCAGCAGGACAACGACCTCAAACATACAGCCAAAGTCATTAATAACTATATTTGATGTAAAGAAGAAAAAGGAGTCCTGGAAGTGATGGTTTGGCCCCTACAGAGTCTTGATCTCAACATTATCGAGTCTGTCTGGGATTACATGAACAGACAGACGGATTTTAAGGCAGCCGACATCCACAGAAGATTTGTGGTTAGTTCTCCAAGATGTTTAAAACAACCTACCTGCTGAGTTCCTTCAAAAACTGTGTGCAAGTGTACCTAGAAGAATTGATGCTGTTCTGAAGGCAAAGGAATAAACTATTTACACTTTTATTTCTGAAAGACTGAGAGAATCAGGAGAAATCTCTGCGCAAGGGACAAGGCCGAAACGCAATATTGGATGCCCATGACCTTGGAGTGCTCAGACAGCACTGCATTAAAAACAATCATGATTCTGAGATGAACATCAATGCATGGGCTCAGGAATACTTTGAAAAATCACTGTCTGTGGACAAATGTAATGTTTTGAAGGCAAAGGGTGGTCGCACCAAATATTGATTTGATTTGGATTTCTTTTCTGTTCATTTACTTTCCATTTAGTTAATTGATAAAAATAAACTATTAACACTTTTATTTCTCAAATAATTCTTACTTTATATAATTTTTTCACACCTGCCTAAAATTTCAACACAGTACTGTACGTTATATATATTTACACATTGTTAAATACTTTCTTTTTACATTTTATATGTTGTTTCTTTGTAAGGCTGCCTGTCAAAAAACAAGATGTGAACCCTGCTGCTCTATGTGGCTGCTTCCTCTGACAGTGCAAGCTAAGAGGTACCTGTTGTTCTGCCACGGACCCTTTAATAGGGGTTTGGCCTGCTTGCTACTCTCAGGTTATTCAACAGATACCCATAGATATGGAGGAGTGAAGGTTCCAGGAAACTAGAAACTGCAGTGTAAGTGAGGCATGACAGCCGAGGTGTAGCGGAAGCTGCATGTGCAGTGGAAGTCTACCAAAGACTCTGGATGCAGTGGAGGCTGTGGGTGCAGTGAATTACTATTAGAAGTGGTACTAAACGGCTGTGCTGCCACTATAAGGCGTATGGCAGTGGCAGCCAGACCCTTGTAAACAGACTATAGAAACCAGGAGTTTGTTTATATCTGTACAGCTGCCTGGGAACATGACCCCCCTTTCTGCCTGATCCCCTGTCATGTATCCTGGGCTTCTCTGTCCCTCCTGGGTGTCCAAGACATCTGTCCTTACATTGAATGAATCTGGAAGCAATGAGCTTTTCACCACTTCCGGTTTCAGAGCTGTTATTTCCCAGCCACACCAGCTGGGCAAAAACCTAATCAAACACAAATTGTGCTGTACCGGATTACAAAGGTGACATTAGGGGGTCTAAAAGACCCCTAATGTCTCCTTAAAGAGAACCTATCACCTCTAATGTGCTATCACTATGTGCAGGGGCGGACCTACTGGCGGTGCAGCCAGTGTGGCCACCACAGGGCCCAAGGCTGGAGGAGCCCACTGAGATCTGGTTGTAGGCAAGGCACAGGTGGACTGGGCCTTAAAAACGCCCCCCCCCGCAGTAGCGTTGATCACTTATTTAATCTCTCCCCTCTCAGCCACTAAGTAGTTGCAGCGGCTGGGGAGGAGACAAATAATTTCGGCTTCAGTGATCGGGCTCCTCAGTAGCCACCTGCAGCTTCCTCCACCCAGGTCAGCTGCTATGGGCTGTGAGGGAGACTGCAGCCCTCTGCACGTCACACCGCTGACCTCTGCAATCTGTGAGTCACACCGCTGACCTCTGCGTCACACCGCTGACCTCTGCACTCTGCGTCACACCGCTGACCTCTGCACCACACCACTGACCTCTGCGTCACACCGCTGACTTCTACATGCCACACACTCCGTGCCACAAATTGCTGGCCTCTGCGTGCCACACCTCTGCATCATGCTGCTGACCTCTGCATCACGCTGCTGACCCCTGTACTATGCGTCACACCACTAACCTCTGCATCACACCACTGACCTCTGCATCACACCACTGACCTCTAGACTCTGCCTTATGCCGCTGACCTCTGCACTGTGGACCTCTGTTAACTGCATTACACCGCTGACCTTTACACTCTGCGTTACAACTGACCTCTGCACTTCGGCAATTACATTTTTCAAATTGATTTGACTGCGTTAGGTCCTGCGCTGCAGCCTCCTTGGGAACCACACGGCGCCTGCTTACAGTGCTTCCGCTGCCTGCACATCTCCCCCTCCTGAGACCTTCTGCACCCCTTTTGAGACCCTCTGCCCAAGACATCAGGGCAGCACCCCGGAGCAGAGCAGCAGCACAGAGTATGTACCAAATTCATGTAGTGGTACTCTGCATTGTTGTATAATGTATTGCTGGGATTTGTAGTACTCTATAGCTGATGGTATTCTGAATTAGAGTGTAAGTTCCGCCGTACAGAAACTGATGTGACTGGCTCAGTGTTCTCTGCACAGCACTGCGTTATATGTCAGAGCTATATAAATGTACAATAATAGTGTGTGACTGTTGGGGGACATTAGAATGTAAGCTCCTTTAGTGCAGAGACTGCTGGGGGGTGAGTGAGATCTGGTCCCAGCCTCCTCTTTGGAGAAAAAAAATCTTGCACCAGGGCCCTTTTTTCCCTAGGTCCGCTGCTGACTATGTGATAGCAATAAAGTTAAGTAAATAAAAAAGTTTAAAAATGTAGTTAGATAACATGAAAAAACACATTTTGTTTTTAAACCCACCGGCACCAAATACAAACACATATGAATGCAAACACGTGCAGGGTGAATAATTGTTGCGCCACACATTTTAGGTAACACTGTGCACATCAGAGTGAGAGTAATAATTCTAGGGCCATCATTCACTGTTAACTCAAAACTGATAAGCTGTAAAGGATATTAAAGCGTCACCTATGGGCAGTTGTTATTTTTATGCCATTTAAGGGGCACACACAATTTTGAGGTTTGCCATTGCTCGACATAACCTCATCATTTATATTGTACCAAATAAATTGGGTAATATACCATGTTTTAGTTTTTCACAGATATGAGCTGTGAGGCGAAACCCACACCTTCATCCCTCAGCCTGGAAGGGCGGGAAGAACACGGACAGAGCAGTGAGGTGCGGGAGAAATAACTTCCTTATCAGCAGCAGCTTGTAGACATGTTAGAACCAGCAACCCCAACAGGTCTGCAGGCTTCCGACAAGCTCCACACAGCCGTATACACAGAGTGGGAGGCCTCAGCACAGTGAGAGTTCCTGCATCACAGTAAACTTCCTCTCTGACTTTTCTGCTCCTCTCCCCCCTCCCAGCCAGCAGCACCTCCTTCCTCGCCCAGTTAGTTTTTCCTGTCCCCTCCCAGGAAGTTTGTAGAACAAAACTGATAGGAAACACAAAGTGAAAAAGGTTACACAGAAATAAGTTGTAGCGATTTCAGGGAAGCCTGAGGGAGAGGCTGGGAGGGGATCGGTTGGTCCCTTTGTAAACACGAGGCTGGATCGTCTGTCTGTGTCCGGAGGGCTTGGCACCAACATGACGGTGAGACTGACAACCTGTGTGTATGGTGTGTGTGATCGGAGTGTGTACAGTGCAGGAGGGCGGGGTGAGGAAACCTCTGCACACAGAGACGGGTGTCCTGTACAAGCTCTGTGTGTTCGGTCAGTGTATGGAACATGTACACAGGGGTATAGCAGGTTAAAGGAGGCGGAGGGAGTGTTCCTGTCATGGTATGTATCAGGGTTGTACATGAATCATGTGTATATTAAGATATGGCAGGTCCATGGAGGCTAAGGAAGTATTCATGTCATAGTATGTATATCTGGGCTGTACATGGATCATGTGTATATAAAGATATGACAGGCCCATGGAAGCTGAGGAAGTATTCCTGTCATAGTACGTATCAGGGCTGTAATGCAACATGATTATATAAAGATATGGCAGGTACATGGAGGCTGAGGAAGTATTCATATCATAGTATGTATCAGGGCTGTATATGGATCCTGTTTATATAAAGATATGGCAGGTCCATAGAGGTTGAGGAAGTATTCATGTCATAGTATGTATATCTGGGCTGTACATGTATCATGTGTATATAAATATATGGTAGGTCCATGAAGGCTGAGGAAGTATTCCTGTCATAGTACGTATCATCAGGGCTGTACATGTAACATGATTATACAAAGATATGGCAGGTACATGGAGGCTGAGGAAGTATTCCTGTCATAGTACGTATCCGGGCTGTACATGTAACATGATTATATAAAGATATGGCAGGTACATGGAGGCTGAGAAAGTATTCCTGTCATAGTACGTATCAGGGTTGTACATGGAACATGTATATAAATATATGGTAGGTCCATGGAGGCTGAGGAAGTATTCCTGTCATAGTATGTATCAGGGTTGTACATGGAACATTGTATATAAAGATATGGCAGGTCCATGGAGGCTGAGGAAGTATTCATATCATAGTATGTATCAGGGCTGTATATGGATCCTGTGTATATAAAGATATGGCAGGTACATGGAGGCTGAGGAAGTATTCCTGTCATAGTATGTATCAGGGCTGTAATGTAACATGGTTATATAAATATATGGCAGGTACATGGAGGCTGAGGAAGTATTCCTGTCATAGTATGTATCAGGGCTGTAATGTAACATGGTTATATAAATATATGGCAGGTACATGGAGGCTGAGGAAGTATTCCTGTCATAGTATGTATCAGGGCTGTAATGTAACATGGTTATATAAATATATGGCAGGTACATGGAGGCTGAGGAAGTATTCCTGTCATAGTATGTATCAGGGCTGTAATGTAACATGGTTATATAAATATATGGCAGGTACATGGAGGCTGAGGAAGTATTCCTGTCATAGTATGTATCAGGGCTGTAATGTAACATGGTTATATAAATATATGGCAGGTACATGGAGGCTGAGGAAGTATTCCTGTCATAAAGAGTATGTATCAGGGCTGTATATGGAACATGTTTATATAAACAAATGGCAGGTCCACAAGAGCTGAGGAAATATTCCTGTCATAGTATGAGGGGAATTTATGAAAACTGGAGTAGACAAAATCTGGAGCAGCCGTGCATGGCGACCAATCAGCTGCTACCTTTTATTTGCAAATCCTAACTGAACAAACTGAAGAGAGAAGCTGATTGGTTGCCCAGGGCAACTGCTCCAGGTTTTGCCTGCTCCAGTTTTCATAAATTCCCCTCAATGTATCAGGGTTGTATGTAAAGATATGGCAGGTCCATGGAGGCTGAGGGAATATTTATGTCATAGTATATATCAGGGTTGTACATGGAACATGTTAGGGATGTACCGATTCTAGTATCGTTATCGGTGCCGATACTGAGTATTTGGGGAGTACTCATACTCGCCCAAATGCTCTGATACTTACCCTGATACTGGAACTTCCGGTCAGAGGGAGATTTCATCTGACCAGCAGTGCTGCGAGGGAACATGGAGCCGGCTTTCTGGCCAATCATAAAGCTGGGTGGTGCGTAATGACTTGCTGCAGGCTTCCTGATTGGCCGGAAAGCAGACTCTTTGCTGATTGGCTGGGTAAGGACTGTTCACCGAAAGGTAAGTAATAGCGGGGGGTTTGGGAGAGACGGGGCCAGACCAGATTTGATCGGGTAATTCCATTTTCCCATATTACCTGGGAAAGTGAACTTACCCTTTAATGCACATTGTGCGTGTAAGAGAGTTCTGCTGCCTGGCTACCCCAATGGGGCACACAATGGAATGGCGGCAGCACTCAACGCACACGCACAATGTCCTACGCGTGCGTTTATTTGCATGCAGATGGCGGAGGCAGCGGGTTTGGTTTTAATTTTTTTTTCATTTAATTTTTTACTTTTAACATTTTTATATATTTTATTATGTTTTACTTATAACTTTTATTTTTTGTTTTTATTCCTAACACATAGGGGCTTCAAAGCCTGTATGTGATAGTTTGGAGGTGACAGGTTCTCTTCATGGAACCTGCTTTCCAACAGAACAGGTGTTCTGTACAGTTCCTGACAGCGGAGACAGTTCTCAGTCTGCTCTACAAGCTCTATGGTGAGCTCATGTGCCGTGGTCACGGGTCCCCCAGAGGAGTGGGGGACTCCGAAAACCAAGGAGGGCAGGGGGCCGGACAGGATCGCCGCTGCTTGTTTCATATAAGGGATCTGATCAGATCACTTGTATAAATACGAGCGGCAGCTCCCCAATGTACATTTAGCTCTGCTTGTCCGGAGCAGGGCTAAATATAAAAAAAAAACTACTCGCACGGTGACCGAAACGATAGAAATTGCACACCCCTGATGGGACATGTATATAAAGGAAAGGCAGGTCCATGGAGGCTGAAGAGTGTTCCTGTCATAGTATGCATCAGGGTTGTATGTGGAACATTTGTATAAAGCAGGGGTGGACAAATTAATATGGAATACAGGAGCTAGTAGGTTTTTTGGGAGTCAGCACCACTGGCAACTAGAGAAAACCTGAAAAGTTGTTTGTCAGCTGTAATTTTTAAGGAGAATTGACTACTAGGCTTATGATATTTGTCCAACCCTGGAATAAAGGTATGGCAAACCCATATAGGTTTAGGGGGTATTGAGCTTATAGTATATCAGGGGTGTGGGAATTAAAAAAAAAAACTACTTCTCCAAGGGCTAAAGCGGGGGCCAAATCTACTTGTCCTTCATGACAATCTACTTGTCCCAATACAAAAAAATTGTTTTAATCAAAACTAAGGATGCACCAATACCGGTTTTTCGGTATCGAGTACAAGTACCGATTTTTTTGCTTTCGGATCTCGCCGACACTGAATACTAATGCCGGTGCTTCTGCTGGCATGGAGCCGGCTTCCCTGGTAATCATGTTGTTTGACCTACTTGATAGTGATTGGCCGGGAAACCTGCTTTCCCTGCTTTGGCCGGGAAACTGGCTCGATGCTGATTGGCCAGGAAGCCGGCTTTCCAGCCAATCAGCAAGGAGCCGGCTTCCCGGCCCATCAGAAAACCAGGAGGCGGGTCATTACTTGTCGCATGGCTTCCTGATTGCACGGGAAGCTGGCTCCATGTTCCCCCTACGGCACTGCAAGTCAGAGGAAATTCTCATCTAGCCGTAAGTTCCAATATCGAGGAAGGTATCGGAGCATTTGGGTACGAGTACTCGCCCAAATACTCGGTATCGGCACTGATACTAGTATCGGTGCACCCCTAATCAAAACATATTTGATTGTGCTAAATAGCGCTTCTCACTGCTCAGCGCAGTCATCTGACTAGAGCTGCAGCTAACGATTATTCTCCAAATCGATTAGTTAACCGATTATTAAGTTCGGTAATCGGATAAAAAATAAAATACATTTTAAAAGATGGCTCCAGGGATGGACTACTAGTTTGTATTGAGAGTGCAGTCCATCACAGGAGCAAGCTTGGAGCGGTGGAAGTAAAAAAGAAAAAAAAAAGTGTGCTGTACAATGTAGTGAAATAAAAAGTGTAAAATTATACAGCAATGAATGCAGAATGGCACCGGCTATAGAGGACTACAAATCCCAGCAATAGTACATTATACAGCACAATTTAGAATACCACCAGCTATAGAGGAGTACAACAAATCCCAGCAATAGTACATTATACAGTGGTGCAATGCCGAATACCACTAGCTATAGAGGAGTACAACAAATCCCAGCAATAGTACATTATACAGTGGTGCAATGCCGAATACCACCAGCTATAGAGGAATAGTACATTATAGCTGGCGGTATTCTGCATTGCTCTGTATAATGTACTATTGCTGAGTGTTGTATTCCGCATTGCGCTGCATAATGTATTATTCTTTGTTTTGTAGTCCCCTATACTGCGCAATGCAGAATACCACCAGCTACGGCGTGAGGTGGGGAGGTGTGGCACGCAGCGTGTGTGGAGCCGTGAACAGGGCCAACCAATCGGAAGCCGATGAATCGATGATTGAAAAAGTTGACAACTTTTTCAATAAGAACATGCAAAACTGCATGTCCTGGGCGATAGGAATTCCACACCCTTGTATGTATCTATCTGGGTTGTACATGGATCATGCGTAGAAGTATTGTATGCTATGGACTGGCAGCAAGATCATGCGTAGAAGTATTGTATGCTATGGACTGGCAGCAAGATCATGCGTAGAAGTAGTGTATGCTATGGATTGGCAGCAAGATGATGCGTAGAAGTTTTGTATGCTGTGGACTGGCAGCAAGATCATGCGTAGAAGTAGTGTATGCTATGGACTGGCAGCAAGATCATGCGTAGAAGTTTTGTATGCTATGGACTGGCAGCAAGATGATGCGTAGAAGTATTGTATGCTATGGACTGGTAGATCCCCTGCAGAATTAAAGCAGAATGGAAGCTACTTTTGTGACATCAGTGTCCATTAGTTTTTTTCCTCCATCTTATGATAGAGTAAAAAAACGGAGCTTCACTGACCCATTTTAGGTCTTTTGGCAGCTGGATGTAAAAGGAGATGCACAAATTCTTAAAAAAAAAGTGAACTTGTCCTTTAGGATGTC